GGCAAGGCCGTGCCAGCCCCAGAGGTCAAAGGTCCACCTTGAAGGTTTACCTGGAGACACCAGGGCAGGGATGTTGTGAAAGGGGCCTAGGAGACCCTTGGCTATTTACACAGATGAATTTGGGTGAGGATTAAGACAGACTCCACTTCCCAAAGTTCTCTTCAAAACGAGAGGGTGTGGGGAAAGTGCAACATCATCTATTGCTAGTGGGAGCATGAAATGGTGCAACTGCTGTGGAAAACAATTAGTGGTTTCTGAAGAAGTTGAACATAAAACTGCCACAGGAGCCAGCACCTCCACTCCCTCTTCACTGCCATAAAATCCGTGCTGACTCATAGGGACCCTATAGGACAGGGTAGAACTGCCCCTATGGAGTTTCCAACACTATAGCTCTTTAGGAGAATAGGAGTTTCTGAGACTGTAACTCTTTATGGGAAGAGAAAGCCCCATCTTTCTCCTGAGATGCAGCTGGTGGTTTCAAACTGATGACCTTGCGATTAGCAGCCCAGTGCCAAACCACTTTGCCACCCAAAACAAAAAAGCAAACTCACTGTCATCTAGTCGATGGCAACTCATAGCAAATGTAGAGGGCAGGGCAGAAATGCCCCTGTGAGTTACTGAAGCTGCAACTGTTTAGGAGTAGAAACCCCCATCTTTTTGCCATGGAGCAGATGGTAGCTTCGAACTGCTGACCTTACAGATTACAGCCGAACTGGGAACCACTAAGGCACCAGGAATCCTATTATTTCATGCCTAGGTATAGCCAGAGAATTCGTGGCAGGAATGCAAGCAGATGTTTATAAACCAATGTCCATTGCAATTATTTACAAGAGCCAAAAGGTGGAAACAGCCTAATTTCCATCACCATATAAGCAGAAAAACAGTGTCATATGCATACAATGGAATATTACACATCCATAAAGAATATTGATGGAGCCCTGATGGTGCAGTGGCTACGGACTCCAAACCTACCAGCGGCTCCCTGGAAGAAAGACGTGGCAATCTGCTTCCATGGAGATCACAGCCTTAGCAGCCCTAGGGGGCGACTCTACTCTATCCCATATGTTTGCTCAGAGTTGGAAGTAGTGTGGCAGCCAGGAGTTTGGTTTTAGTTTGGGGTGAGGAAATATCAAATCCTGATACTTGCCGCAGCATAAATGAACCTTGGGAACATTATTCGGAATGAGTAAAACACTGTTTTGTCATTCAATAAGCTCTGTTTTAGAGTGAATTCTTTATTAGTGGATATGTTGTTGAGATTATACACAGATCATACATCACGTCAACACTCCCTGTATGTAGAAGTCAGTGGCATTAATTGCGTGCTCTGAGTTGTGCAATCATCCTCATCCTCCTTGACCGAGTGATTCTTCCCCATGAGGTGTGCCTGGCCCACGCCATGGTATTTTCAATCACCTCCTATGCATGCGAAAGTTGGACTGATAAGGAAGACTGAAGGAGAGTGGCAGCAGTTGAATGATGGTGCTGGAGAAGAATGTTGAAAGTACCACGGACTGCCAAAAGGACAAACAAATCTATTTTGGAAGACGTATGTCCAAAGTGCTCCTTAAAGGCAAGGATAGTGAGACTTCATCTTACATACTTTGGGCACGTTGTCAGGAGAGACCAGTCCCTGGAGAAGGACATCCTGCTTGGTAAAGTCGAGGGGCAGAGAAAAAGGCCCTGGACTAGATGAGTTGACACAGTAGCTGCAACAATGGACTCAACCATAGGAACAATTGTTATCCCAGGGTAAGGATTGGGGGCCTTCCATAGCCTCAGTGGCTCCTGGAAAATCTGGATTCTGTGAGCATCTGAAGTTCCCTTCTACATTTGCCCCTTTTCGAGCAGGATTCTTCTATAGAATCTTTGATCAAAACGCTCTATCATAGTCTTTGCTTGGCACCTTCTAGTTCTTCTGTTCTCATGTCAAAGAGAGAGGTTGCTCACAGAGACACTTAGACAGGCACCTTGAAGGACAAGGAGTTTGTGCTTGTGGGAGAAGGACAACTTGGAAGAGGCGGCTCAGGATGACCGCACAACTCAAAGAATGTGATCCATGAGGGACTGTTGGATTAGTAGACGTGCTACTTCGTACAAGCTCTAACCTCAACCACAAATAAGATCAACTAAAGTATTACATTAAAGAAGAGAGTTCCCAATTTCCCTTCTTCCTCTGTTACTCCAGGTAAACAGGGACCAATTGTCATGCCTTTGGGGCACACACTCCCTGTTAGGGGGCTGGAACAGGGGAGAAGGCAGAAATCATTCCTATGTAATGTATGAATCCTATGTAATGTATGTAATGTATGAATCCCAAACCTCCAAGGAGACCACTAATAGCAACTCCTCGACCTTGGTTACTGGTTACTCATCTCCTGAGATGAGTCAAAGAGATTCCTCCTTGGTCTGGAGAGGAGGTGGCCTCTCGGGAAGGTGGAGCAAATGACTCGAGGTCACACAACTAGTTTTAGACGGAGCCAGTTTCCAAATTCCTACTCAGTCATCAGCTGGTACCGACGAGCATGGCGTTAAACTTGACCTGATGGGTTAGAAATCCCCATCGTCACCTAGAAGATGGGAGGTTTCCATCTAAGTTGGGAGGGTTGTGACAGCAGCCCCATGGACATAACCAGGAGGCACCGTGCTTCTTGGTTTGCTCAGGACAGGCCCAATATATGCCCTTTGTTCTCCTTGGCATCATTAATGTTCAATGCCATTGAGTCGGTTCTGACTCCCAGCGACCCATGTACAACGGAATGAAACGGCCTCCAGGGGTTCTTATGTTGGAGGCTCTAGTGGCAGCCGCTGTGTCCATTCATCCTGTTGAGGGCCTTCCTGGATTTTTGCTGCCCCTCTACCTTACCAAGCACGATGTCCCTCTCCAGGGACTGGTTTCTCCTGATAACAACTCCAAAGTACGTGAGACAAAGTCTCATCATGGTTGCTTCTAAGGAGCATTCTGGTTGTATTTCTTCCATGACAGGTTTATTTGTTCTTCTGACCGTCTATGGTACCTTCAGTGCCTTGCAAGCACCATCATTTACATGCATCCATTCTTCCTCTAGCTTCCTTATTCAACGTCCAACTTTCACACGCACAGGAGGCCATTGAAAAGACCATGGCTGGGGTCAGGTATGCCTTAGTCT